GCACCGATGCATTGAATGCCAAGCAACTGCATACAAATTTGCAATTTTTCATTTTATCGCCAACTTCCCTTCCCTGCTTGCCCTTCCCTTCCAGCGGCACGTAAAGGTTCAGGTTGAGGTTCAGGTTCACGTTATATACATATAATGCAATCTTTACTTTTTTCCTGTTTTAGCTTTGGCATAATTTAGTGGGCCATGCCTCGAAGGCTCTTAGCTGAGTGAAGTATGTGTTTGAGCACCCAACGCAAACAAGTAAAATCAGAACAATAACAAACAAACAAGAACATTGCATTCGGGTATAACCAACTGCGCCATACTCTGTCCACAGTGTAACTGACCAAAGTTCATTAGACTGTTGTTTGAAATGTGACTTTTGGAAATATTTTGGTTTGCAGGAGATTACGACTGCTAAATTGAGGAACCTTAGCTCTTTAACTGTGGAAAGCTTAGGTATTCGCCCGCAAGTTGGCGTCCAACCATAGCACTTTGTCCCAACCTCAAGAGTCTAATGGACACCCAAACAAAGGGACAGACGTTGCACAAGCGCAATATACCCGCTTTCCCCTTGTGTAGCAAGTATAAATATTTAGGCTATTCATCACGTCGCTATCAAATACCCTTGTGGACTTGTGGCTTGCGGCTTGCATATTTCAAGATTTTGCAGAACATTTACCGTAAAACAAAATATTTTTTAATAAAAAACTTAATTTGCAACCTATTCTTCCTATGGAGCTATTTCGGTGTCAATAAGATTTGGCTTAAATGTAAAGAGTACAGTAAAAATATTAGATGAAGAGATTGGACAATATATCTTGAAAAACAAACGGTTTTTTATTTAGTACCAGGCAGCTATATTATATAGTATTCGGATGTTGATATGATCTAACTCATATTTAAGGAGCATAGTAAAACTAAGAAATTCCAATTTTGGTAAAGATATCTTGAAGAAGGAAAAGGTTTCTCATATAAGAGCTTATTTATCGAACAATCAGTCCTATGGCTGCTATATGGCATAGTATTCCGATGTTGATAATATTTGGCTTATATGTAAGGAAAATAGGAGAAGCATTTAATGGCAAGGTTATATGATATAGTTGTTCGTTCTGGAATACGACCTGCCTGCTACAGACAGACGTTCCCAAGGCAAAGCTTCATGTCGATAGCTTCGAGCTGAGGGACTTTATCGCCTTGGCTGTTCACACAGATCAGATATATGTATATACAGTGTACCTAATGAGGTTGGAGATGTCTTTTTCGACGGTTCACTCGTTTCATGAGCACATTTGAATACCCTTTAAAAGGGCAAAACAACCGGTCATTAAATAATATCGGTTCAAGCATTAATTCGTATTGTGGCCGCACTGTGAAATTGTTATTATATGATTTTATTATTATTATTATTAAGAGCATATGCTGCATATTGCATATTTAATATTTTGCGCATTTGCGAGTGTTAAGTGAATCGCCACATCAAATTTGATTTCAGTCCATTCGCATAATTCGTTTCAATTTCATTGCACATTTTCGCTACACAATTAACTTTCAATTAATTACACACGCATCATATACATATATAAGCATATATATCAAATAAATATAGCAGGCGATTGACTTGCGAAACGCGCTGACCAACGCAGCCGCTCGCCGACAAATTCTTAACTGGGCGACTAGTTCCAGCTGCAATTCGGAACGACAAAATTGTGGTAACAAGTTCTGTTGTCATGGCCACTAATTGAAATTGCCAGCGGGGGATGAATGGCAGGGCATAAAATACATTAACGAGCATATTTGAACTATATAGGCAAATCAGCTGGGAAGCGAACGCCAATCGGGCAGCCGTTGCCCGTGGCCATGTGACGTGTCGCACGGCACAGGTGTTTCACTGTACTAAAAGACTATTTAATTGCCAACTTAAATGGTTTGCTAAGCGTCTCCCACAGGCATTAAGACTTAATGGCTTTAAAAACGAACCATTATGAAAATTATCTTGCTCCATTTAAATTAAATGGCCGCATGCGATCATTTCGGCTTATTGCAAAATACCGTTGGCATCAATTAACGATTAGAAACTATCGATAGTACAGTAATCGTTCGTCAGTGCCAGTGTTGGCACTATGCATATTTGATTGACTTCGGTGTTTATAGTCCGATCTGTTGTCCGATCAAAAGTGTGTATATTTCAAAGAGCAAGGCTCTACATTCAAGACTGAGGCTGGGAGCGGGAATGGGCGAAAGTTTTCAAGTAGTGAAAAAAGGCCTAAGCTATATTAAAACTATATAAGCTACATAAAATGTATTTTGTTTTATGCTTAAAAAACATGTATAATAATCGATATTTATCGATTATTTGGAAATGTAGGAGATATCGACAGATAAACTGAGAATATAAATGTCAAATTTATTGTCTCTTGCTTTTGTAGTCTCCGAAACATCACACAGACGGGCATGATCCTGATGAAGAACAAATATACTTTACGAGGTCGTAGATGCTTCCTTCTATCTGTTTAAGACATTTTCACAAAATATTCTAGTTGCCAGACTATCCGCCTAATTGATTTTGTCGCTGATGAAATTCTTTAAGCCAGTTTCGCTTTAATGTTAATTCATAAATCTGTTAGCAGGTAAAAATTAAATACTTTTATTTAATTACTTTGTTTGGTTTATTTTGGTCAATGTTCGCTCGAATTGGTCGAATTTTCTGATCAAATATTTGCACGCCTGACCTTCGGCCGGCGCTCCACTTTCGTGCAACTGAAATCAAATATTTTATGCAGTTTTTAATGTATTCATATGTATACATATTATTTTGTATTTTATCATTTTAGCTGGAACTACCGGAAGTATGGAATAATTAATATTCGGTTCGTTGCAATTTGTGTGTATTTTTATTTTTGCTCTTTTCAAAAAAAATTTCCGGCTAAGGCGACGTCGACGGCTGGCATTAGCTGTAATAATTTTAATTGCGTTTAATGGCGCAGGAATTGAATGCGAATGCTGGCCAAGAGGAAAGAGAGAAAAAAACGCATTAATTAGAAAACGAGCAGCAGGACAGTCAGCAGGAGAAGTGGGCAGAGTGCGAGAGAGAGGGGGAGGGGGAGGGAGAGGGAGTGGGAGTGGGAGAGAGTAATAAAACAATAACAATATAGCACGCCAACGTGACCGACACGCCTTGACCACGCCCACCACTCAGCGGTCGCCTAAAAAAAGGCAGTAAATTAGGCGCTCGAGACTAAATACCCGCAAAATTCACGCACTTGACACAAATTCCTTTGGGGCGGATGGCATTAAAATTGAAAAAAAAGAACGAACAGAAAAGAAAAGTAAGACCAGAAATCAAAAAGAAGAGCATAGAAGCAGTGCACAAAAAGTGTGGCGAAAAGCACCCAAGAAAATAATTCATAATAATGCTGAACTGGCGCTAAGGGTGGGCTGTGGGTTGGCCGGGGGAGAGACGAAGGGCTGGTGGGCAGAACTACTCAGTAGCTGCGGTAGCTGAGTGGCACGACAAAATGGCGACCACCAAAGCGGAAGTGCGCGCAAATGACAAAATGCTGTTAGCCCAAAATGCTAACCAAGCAACGGTGGAGGGCCAAGAAGAAGAAGAAGCTGCAGCAGCAGCAGCAGCAGCGTCAAATGCAAGCAACCCGAGACTAGAGTAGCAAAATTTAAGGAAAAACTAATTTCAACTGCATAAATTGAAAATATTTGTCGGGCAGCATTAGCTGAAGGCTTGTTTATTAATGATTAAGAGAGATGGACAGAGAGAGAGAGAGAGATAGAGAGAGAGAGAGACAAGGAAAGACAAAGTAAGAGAGAGCGAGAACGAGCATCCCAGAAATGCATTTGCATTATTTTGAACAAGCAAAACCCATTCTTTATGCCCAGGACGGGATTACTTCCAGACCGGGTTTGCTTAATTCAATTATGACTTCTTTCACTCACAGACTCTCTCTATGACACACTCTCTCTCTCTCTCTCTCTCTCTCTCTCTCTCATTCTCTCTAGCTCTCTATCACTCCCTCTCTCAATCTTCTGCTCTCTCTCTCTCTTACTCTCTCACTCCCACTGCCTCTATCTCTCTCTCCCTCTCTCTCTCTCTCTCTCTCTCTCTCTCTCTCTCTCTCTCTCTCTTTCTCACTCTCTCTCTTCCACTCCCTCTTTCTCTCTCTCTCTCTCTCTCTCTTTCTCCTAATCGCACTTTCTCTCTGTCTCTTAACTTCTTTCTCGCTCTCTCTCCCTCTCTCTCTCTGTTACTGTCGCTCCCTCTCTCTTTTTATTTGGCAAATTTGAATCCTACACCAAACTGAAACCTAATCATAAATTCTTATTTAAAGTTTAAATTCTTAAGTATGAACAACACCCGAATTAAGTTTATTTAATTATTTTGTAATTTTTTTAAGCCGTGCTGATCTGTTTTTAGCACGAAAGCGTATCGAATCAATCTTTACTAATCTTAAAACTTAGAACAAAATTATCTTAATACATTAAGCTCATTTCCACCTTGAAATAAAATAAATATGGTCTTAAATGGAGACAATTATATGGTTGAAACAATTCTAGTTTGAGCAACGAGTTTATCTCAATATCTAAACAAGTCTTCATTTACTTCGCCTACTTAAATCAGGGGTGAAAGTTGAGATAACAAATGTTAAATATAAATATCGAGACGAAGTGTATTTGCAATCCTTATTAAATCAAATTAAATACGTGCCTGCAATCAAATGTCTATGTTTATTCTATGCAACTCTATCATCAGGCCTGATATCGATTTCAACTCATTTCCGTTCCTTTCACTTGCAGATGGTGCGCGCCTAAAACACGCGGAAAACTTGAGCGTTATGTAATAACAGCAACAGCAGAGGGAAAAAAAAAACAAAAAATTTAATAAAAAATCGGAGCTGCAGCCGTGCGCTGATTGAAACAATCAAGTGAGAAACCTGGTAAAAAAAAAAAACAAAGAGAGAGAGAGAGAGAGAGCAGAGCAAGTGGGATATAGCGAGCAAGGGGAAGAGGGAGAGAGAGTGTGTGTTTCGTAGATTTTGGATAAATAGAAATCGAAAATGTGCAAGAGCAGCAAGCCAAACACGACGACGACAACTGCAACTGCAACAGAGCTCACAAACTTATTAGCAAAATGCACAAAGTCAACAAACGGTCCCAACGGCAGCAACATTGGCAGCATCAACGCTAGCAACTGTCAACAGAGGCGCATGCTAGGGGCAGCTGCGGCAGGCGGCAGCAACGAAGAAGAACCACAAAAACAGGGAGCCAAACATCAAAACATGCAGCAGCAGCAGCAGGAGAAGCAGCAGCAAGAGCAGGAGCAGGAACATAATCAGCGGCAACATCAACAACGCCAGGAACAAGGACATCAAATAAAGCAAATGGCAACGGGGACAATTGGTGAGGCAGTCGCCATTGCGCCAGCCAAAGAACTTGAACAGAAACACGAATTTGGACGAGACCAAGAACAGCGTCGTCGACATTGCAATAATGTTGCCAGAGTGCAGCATCAGCAACAACAGCAGCAGCAGCCACAGCGGCAGCAACAGTTCAAGCTGCATCAACGTAGCTGTCTCTCGATTGTCCTGTGGTTGACGCTCGCAACGACTGCAGCAGCAGCAGCAGCAGCAGCAACAACAGCCAAACCAGAAGCAACACCAACTATGTCGACAATTGCCCAGCGCTCCGCCCGCTCGTTGAGCAGCGGCCACAAGACTCTGAGCAGCGGCGTCAGCAGCGGGCTTATCGGTGGCAAAAGCAACGCACGAGAGCTACACTACGAGCTGAACAGCGGCGCCGGTGCCGGCAATGGCGGTGGCGGCGGCGGTGGAGCAGCCGGCATCGAGTGTCCCAGCTTCGATGATAGCTCCGCCTGCCCCTGCTACAAGTTCGAAGATGGTAAGTCCAGCCCGGCAAAACTAATTAAACGCATCAAAGCCGACCAGAGCTAGGTTTATTGCACCCAAAAACGTGTGGACAGGCACAATAACATATCACGACAGCACCCGCCCTTAAGTGTGTGTGCAAGTGTGTGCGTGTGTGTGTGTGTGTGTGTGCATGCAAAGATTGTTTACTTTGACACCAGAGAGCATCTGTAGAGCAGCATTTCAGACTAGACACCACTTGAATACGAATGCACACACACCGAGTACTCACATGTATTCATTGTTATCGAGTCAATTAAATCAAGTATTGTCTGCAGATCACGAGAAACTAGGCAAGCCGCAAGTCTTTGCTTGTTATTATGTATTATTAACATTATTATTATTATTATTATTATTATTATAGTAGATTAGATTATTATCAACGATTTTCTTTGTGAGCAGTTGGACGAGCTTTAAGTCTGACCAAAGCTTTTATGTGCTTTAAAATCTTTTAACTCAAAGCTTTTTTCTTAAGATGTTTATGTTCATTTATTCGATCAGTCGGATGAGCTTTAAACAGATTAAGTCTATGTAGAAGAGAAAATAGCTAAACGGATCTTTTAGTCTTCATTCAAATTACATCAAATTCGATATAGCTTAGCTTGCCTAAAGCTTTCTTAAGCAAGAGCCTTAGTTTTCAAGCGCCTCACAATATTTGCTTAACAAAAGCTTAAAGCCTTATAAGCTCTGAAAACAGATCTATATTGTGACTTAAGTTTTTATGTGATGCCAGTTTGATAAGCACAATAAATCCTTTTATTTCTGAGCAGTTGGACGAGCTTTAAGTTAGATCAAAGCTTTCACGGGCTTTAAAATCGTTTGGTATTAAGAGTTTTTACATTTAGATAAGCTTTCAATCAGATTAAGTGCTTGTAGAAGAGAAAATAGCTCAACGGATCTGTTAAAGTATGCCTAGCAAAAGCTCGTGGCTTAGGTGCCAGAAATTTGGCAAAGGCTCCTTTTTATTGACTGCTGTACAGTCAGGATTGGCTGTTTCTACCGCATAAGGATTAAGTTTAGTTTCTATTTATTGATTATTTACATTGCTCTAATGCATTTATTTTTCGAATGCGTACAATTTGCAAGAATTTCGATATCATTATGTGTTACTTAAGCTGATTATTTATTTTTCTGTTTAAATCCTAAGAGCAAATAAAATGCCGAGCAACACACACACACACTTGCAAGTTGAACTACTTATGCCACACTCGAAGGCACCGCTATAGCCGTGTGTGTCGTTCCGTCCGTGTGCTTACTCAAGCTGTGTCTGTTTGCCTGGTGGAATTCGAGGCATCATTAACTAATAACAATCGCCTGCAAGGAGAATAATATAGATTACAGCAACTGATGGTCATAGTGGCATCACCCTGCTCGTTGTTGGGGCTGGGGGCTGGCTTACTGAAATTATAATTGATATTGGATTTCTGTGCTTGTTATTTCGCAGGCCTGTTTCTGGAGTGTCCTGGCACGACGGCGCTGTCGCTGCGCTCGACGCTGGAACGCATCTCGGCGCCGATACACTCGCTGTCCATTTACGATTTTGATCGGTCCGTGACATCACTCTCGCAGGACGTTATACAGCCGGGCGTACACATACGGCACCTGCAGTTCTCGCACTCGCACCTGGAGGCGCTCAAGGAGAACAGCCTGCGTAATGTGCGCGGCAGTCTCGAGTCTCTGAGCATTGTCAATGGCAAATTAACGCAGGTAAGCGGCTAAAAAATTACATTGCGTATACGCCATGTGCAACACTTTGCCTTTGCCAGCGCACGCACAACGCAAATACTGACAAAGTTGAGCTGGCAGGTTACCTCAAAGTGGCACTATTGTCGCTGGCACCTGTTTTCGGGGGCGTTGCCTGCAGCAAAATAAGTGAAAACTGAGCAAAAGTGGGGCAAACGCAACGTAGGCGACAGACACCAAAAATAATTGCATGCAAATGTATTGCACTTTACATTTTGCTGCTGTTGCTGCTGCCGCCTGTCGCTGCAACCGTGTGCATGTGGCATGCCAGCGCCAGCCACGCCCCACAGTCAACGCCCTAACTAACGGTGTGACAATCATCTGTTGGCTGTCAACTAACAACACAACACACAAAAGGCAGCAGCAACAGCAACGGCGATTAATGTGTGCCAGCCACATGGCCCACTTGACTGAAGTGTGAAAAAAAGGTGTATACTATATATGCACATGAGTTTAAGGTTTTAACAAATATCACTAAGAAGAAGATGAAGATATTTCACTCACTGGAACATAAATTTTTATCAACCAAATACAAATATCACAACTTGAACCAACTGCCCAAATTCGGGTACCTGGCATTTGGTTTTACATATCCATGAACCGAGGCGCTGGTTCAAACCTTGATGACCTTAATGTATTATTTAATCTAGTATTTAATACTTTTATTGAGCTCTCTAATTATTATTGTGATCTCTTCACACAATTCACATCTAGCAGTCATGATTAAATAAATGAAATAAGTTGTTAAAGATTTGCTTCTGAGTCGCTCTTAAAAGTTTTTTTATTTTGAACTAAAACATTTCAATGAAAATATATTCAAATGTTTTGGCTTTCGGTCCAGTTCATGGTACACAAACAGTTTTGATTAACTTGATAATTTTATGCATTTATTCAAAATGTTTTCCTATTGGTTTATTGATTTTCAAGACCGCGCAAAAGTATGCTATGGAATCTTACCTGCTTCTAACATGGCGGCCGTGGGCAGCTGCCTCTCATTTCCGGTTGTCGAAAATTCATTGCTTACTTACGGGCTGCATTAATAAAATGTCGGGTGCAAAACTTGGCTCTGGCGTGGAGATAATCAGTTGCCTATTACACAAATATATAAATTACTCTTGTTAATTAAACAAACCCATAACTTACCCTCGATAGTTGTGACAACTAAGACTGAACGTATGTTTATTTAAATTTTGCAAAATTTAATCAAGTCACGAGCGCTCAAAACTGATTGTTAGCTGCATAATAAAATACATAACTGGTAAAGTATTTGTTTGCTGCTGCTGCTGCTGCTGCTGCTGCTGTTGTTGGTTTTGACGGTGTGATTGGGGCTGATGCTGGTGATGCAGCCAAAGCTAATTAGCGGCGCCAACATACGGCGTCAATAATGTTGAACAAAGTTGGGCAACCGAAAAAAATGCAAATGGCTTTCTAAGCCATTAAATTTGGAAAAACAGCCGCCACAGCAGCAGCAGCAGCAACAGTGGCAACAGTGGCTACAGTGGCTACGGTGGCAACGGCAACGGCATCCACCGTTAACGTGAACCCGACAAGCGGCACTTGGGCAGCCATAAAAAGTAATTTGCCGCCGCGGAATAACAAACGATCCAAAGCTAAAAACAATTGCGTTCAATATAATAATTTTCGCCGAGCGCGGTGGCCGCAGCGGCTGCCTGGCAAAAGGCATCCAGCTGGAAACATGTGTACAGAGGTGGGCGATGGGCGTGGCAGCATTGGTTCCTGCTCGCCATGACGCTGCTTGCAATTAAATAGTTAATACTGCAGCAAATATTCTGCAGAATGTTCACTTTGTTGGTTTTATTTATAGAAAAAAAAAAAGGAAAAAGGTGCAACAGTAGAAGAATAAAACGCTTGCAGCAATCTCCTTAGCCAGCTGTTAGTGTGACGTTCACAAGCCTGGGTCTGCGGGTGGTAGTCGTTGTCCGAGATGGCGGCTGGGGCAGCACTGGCCTAATGGTCACATCGGGCCTCCTAGTGAGCGGCACCGGTGCGCAGGCACGCGGCTTATCACCCAGCTGCATCTGGCCGCAGAGGCGCTTGTCTGCCGGCAGCCAATCTGCAAAGAAACGAGCGAGAGGACGAGTGAGCTGTGAAGTAGGACACCTGGGGATTGGCAGCACTTACTGTTGCGTGGACGCGAGTGGCAGTTGTTGTTTAGCAGCTGGCAGCGGTTGGCCATCACCTTGCACTGCTGATGGTTGCGTGAACGCACGCATATCTCCTGGGAGCGGGGCGTGCGTCGACAGGCCACCGGTCGCCTGGGACAGTCCTGATGGCACCAGGTCGCGTATGCCGCACCCACGCCGCGCACCGTGCGGCAGTCACGCTCCTGCGTGTGCGTCCAAGTCAGCTGGTTGCTGCTGCTCAGATCCGGGCGATTCAGCTCCAACAGCTCGCAAATATTCCTGAAGCGACGGCACATCCCATCCTCAGCGCGGCCGCAGACACGCGGACTACGCGCAGCACAAACAGCGGGCAGCCGACACAGCGGCCAACGCGTGGGCAAAATGGTGACTGGTCCCGGCGTGGGTACCAATGTGGGCGTCCGGGCGTCGATCGGCGACGACAGCAGCAACAAAATCTGCGCGCTGAGCACAATTACTGCAAAAAGCAAGTGGACAAGTGGCGCCTTAGCCAATCCCCAGGGCTACAATACTGACGAGAGCACCTACCAATTAACCTGGTCAACTGCATGTTGGTATGTGAGCCGTGTCTGGTGTAAAAGTTGTTGGCTTGGACTTCTCGCACAACGTTTTTATAGCTCCTGCATCTAGGCAAAACAAAGGACCGGCTGCCGAATGATAGAAACAGCAGTCGGCACATTCTTTGTTTGCCATGCGTCGTCTTTTGTCTGACTACTGTAAATGCCATTGACCTTAACAGCAGAATGAAGCACTTGAATGACAGCTTATGTGCCTTTTGGGGAGTAGGTCTTGAGACAAAACTTAGTTATATATAGTATACTAGCGGGTATAACCCGGCCTTGCCCGTGGCACGTATGTTATAAAATCAAAAAAGTTTTGAAAATGATTTTAAATCTGATCGGACGGGAATCAAACAACTTTTATGCAAATCGGAAAACTCTTAAAATTCACCAAAAAAATCTTAAAAATGCATTTTCCACCGAAGGAGTTTAGATTTTGCGAGAAATGTGAAACACGTCTCTAATGATTTTTCTTATAGATCTTTGGAAATAAATTTGAACACAAAACGTCATCCACCAAATCTTCGCACCAAGGAGGGATGGATTTTTCAAAAAGTATGAAACAACCATCAAATGAATTTGAATATAGATCTTTCAAAATTAGTTTGGGGCCGATCGGATGGTAAACAAAAAACTTTCATACAACCCTTTTCCGCCAATTTACCACTGTTGCGGGTGGAATTTTGCAAATCGTCGACATACGTATTCATTAAGTTCTTATTGCGAGCTTTGAAAATAAGTTTGAGGCAAATCAGACACAACTTAAAACTTCGCACAAAAAATCTTTAAATCGCATTCCCCACGAAGAAGTTTGAATTCTGCGAAAATTGTGAAACACGTCTCAAATGATTTTTCTAATAGATCTCAGGAAATGAATTTGAGTGCGAAACGTCACCCACCAAATATTTGACCTCCATTTGCACCAAGGAGGAACGGATTTTTCGAAAAGTGCGAAACACCCCTCAAATGAATTTGAACAAAGATCTTTGAAAATAAGTTTGGGGCCGATCGGATGGTAAACAAAAAAGTTACATACAAACATTTTTCGCGATTTTTCCACACTTGCGAGTGGAATTTCCCGAAACCCCGCCTTAGCGTGCACCTACATCACACCTAACTTCAGTGAAAATTTCAGCTTCCTAGCTCTTACGGTTTGGGCTGTGCGTTGATCACCAATCAGTCTGTCAGTCAGTCAGTCAGTCAGTCAGTCAGTCAGTCAGGACAAACAGTTTTATATATAGAGATAAAGCTTATATTTAATCTTATTTGGAGGCAAATGGGCGAAATCTGCAGGCTGGTTTCAGCTTTAAAAAAGAGTTAAAATATATTGAGTAATTAGAAGCAAAAATAGATAATTAAATAAAAGCCATGCTTTCCGCGTCGAATTCCCTCCACTCTATATTTAACCCAAGCCCAAACTGTTCAATAATTTAATTTTTTATCAATTTGTAAATATTTATGTAGCAAAAATAATTAATTTACTATAATATACATATTTATTCATTAATTAGCTTATGGGCCATGTGGCTAGGGCTTTGAGCTTATTTCAATTATAAATATTTTTAAATATTAATTAAATAAAAATTTAATTAAATTGTAATTATTAAGGCTAATATTAAAAATGTTCAAAAGAGTTCTGCATTGCTAAAAAGTGATTTTTCGTTGGGGCGTGGTCAGATAACAAAAAAGTAAAAGCAAAAAATCCCCTCCGCTGAAAAAAGGCTAAATTTATTGCATAGTGTAATAGATATTGATTAGAACTTGTAATCTAGGCTGTCAATTATGATTTGGAGCCATTTATAGGATTTTTATCTTTCTTTTTTAAAGACATGTGCCTCAGATAAATTATTTATATTTAATTTAAAAGCCCGCTTTCTTTCTCTTCAACAATGTAAAACAAGTAAGAGGTTCTAGTCGGGAGCTCCCGACTAGGGGATACCCTGAACCCTCTTCTTCCAACAGGCGATAGCTAAACAAGTAAGAGGTTCTAGTCGGGAGCTCCTGAATAGGGGATACCCTACACCCTCTTCTTCTAACAGGCGATAGGTATACAATGAAAGATACTTGATATATATACTATTCTAGAAGCTGCAGGTCAAGTTTGGTGACTCTAGCTCTTATTATTTACCAAAATTGCTAAAAAAAAAAACAGGATTTGATATGGATTCTTATCGATTACTTGAAAACGGGGCAAGTTATCGAATATCGGAAACAAACTCGATATGCGCGGGGACTAGGAGGACCTACAGCTAAAAGTTTCTAGCTCTTATAGGTTCTGAGATCCTTGCGTTCATACATACGGACAGACGGACCAACGGACGGACAGACAGAAGGACATGGCTAGATCGACTCGGCTATTGATGCTGATCAAGAATATATATACTTTATGGGGTCGGAGATGTTTCCTTCTGCCTGTGACATACATTTGCACAAATACATTATACCCTTTTTACCCATTTTAATGGGTTCAGGATATACTTAAAGTTGTGCATGAATTGATATTAAAGTTATATAGATGTATCCTCTTAGCAAATCTGTTCATTGTTTTAATTATAAGAAATAACTCATAGACTTCAACATGAATTATCGGTGAAAGTATTCGATTGTCTGCCATACTGATAGGATGAAAGAAACACGTGTCGCGTGGCAAAATGAATGCATAAATGGGGACACAATTAAGTAGACAATGCAGTTAACGGGCCCGCTTGACTGGAGCTGGCCACATATAAATAGCCAGCCCGATCGGTTGGCAATCATCAACAACTTTAGTTAGCTCCCGGTAACAGCTGCAGTTCCAATCGAGTAGAATGATGTTGAAGCTTACAACTTGCTGCCTGCTGCTTGTCGTGGTGCTGGCTTCCGCCGAGGCAAACACGGACGCCTCGACGGTGTGCGTGGGTCGCTGCCACATCCTGGATCTGCATGACAAGCGAAGGGTGTGCACTCGGGATGCCAAAACGAACTTGTGCACCAAGATGCTGCCCTGCCGGCTGCGCGAACGCAACTGCGCCCTGAGACGTCTGGGCCGGCCGCCGCTCAGGGAGACCAGCCTCGGGCAGTGCGCCAATGTTGTGAGCAGCACCGGCACCGCTCGATGCGTGCTCATACCACGCCCCAGCTGCATTGACAAGTCCTGCAACAAGCTGTTGCCCAACAGCTGCTGGCGCACCAGAGATGGGCGTAACCTTTGGCTGAGCCTCTGCGATGCCCGGGAGAGGAACTGCATCAACTGGAACAACCCGCGGTTGCAGCTGGTGCGCATCCACGACGTGCAGTGCCGCTCAAAGGCGCCCGTCATCAAGGGCTAAGCACGCTGACAACAACGATATCCGCATATATATATATATATATATATATTCCATGTATATATATTTTATTATATACCTACTTCTCCCTTTTTTTTGTTTCTTGGTTGCTTCGCATCAAATTCAAAACGCTCGTAAATATTTCATAATGTTGCGACAATAAAAATAAATATCATTTTATGGCAGGCTTTTCTTTGTTCTGCTTTTATTCTTGCCTCTGCTGCTCCACTACCATGTTAGCTCACCCCTCCCCAGCACTTGCCACAGCCGCTGGCCAGGCGCTGGCTCCTCGCATGACTTGGCCATAAATTTACTGGGGCGCGCTTCAAGGCGCCAAGCCAAAAGCGGCAACTGAGCGGCCCGAGCGGACCAAGCGGCGTCGCAAATGTTCAATAAATTAAAATCGACTGCCATAAATTTCCATGTCAGTACATTAATTAAAAGCCCGTAATTCGCTTGGCCATGTCACAGGGCCCAGACTCCGCTCTGTCCAGTCCGTGTGCAGTCACCTGCTCGGCACCCCGCCCACAGGCTGGATCAGTTGTAGCGGAAATTTTGTAATTTAATGCAATTAAAAAGCCAAACAGTCCGAAAACGAAAACGTGTTCATTTCATTTGCGGATAGTGGATCGCATAGCCACATCGCATTCAAATCCTTAGACAGCAACACGAGCTGCTCCTTTTTTGACTGTCTATAGCTCAGATTTGGGGCTATGCTAAGGCCAGGGCTGCGAAACTCAAACAAATTCTTGCTGGTTCGAACCGGCTTTCTGCTTTGGGCTTCTGCTCATGTACCTGATTTCCATTTGCATGGGACCAGGGTTTGGCTCACAGCTCATGATTGTATGCAACAATTGAATTTTTAATTTACAATTGACAGCAAATAAATTTTATCTTCATTCATAATTGGCTTCTACCAAATATGGTTAAAGAAATCCAATGGTTGGAGGCCAGCCCCTCTTCAAAGTTTTGTATTAAGAACCAAAACACATTGAAGAAAAACTAGGTTCGACTTGGGTTTCTGTTCGGTTGTTTTTGTTTAGGGCCCGGTTCACAATCAAATTGACTTATATTCTTTAACATAATTACCTTTAGAATAGAGTGGGATCATTTTTCCCAATGTTTGGTCTAGCTCACTGCGGTAATACAATTGACCAAAATTATCCTTGGTGTATAATTAAGCCTGCTTAGTTTAGTAAATGATCAAGTCCGCCTAACTAAACCGTTTTATTATTAATTTATAAGAAGCGAGATTGTATAAACTAGTTCTAACTTGTTTATGGCTTTAATATATATACAGCTGCAGCATCAATTAAATATAAAGTCACGTGTGGGCCATTTTGTCATCTGCTTCAAATTTACCAATACCTTATTGAACATATCGCACTTTTTATCGAACTGGTATAGCTTGTAGCAAATAGGAAGAAGACTTCGATGACACATTGCAAACCGGAAGAAATTGTAAAAAATAATAAAAAGAAACATGGTTTCGAATGTAAGAAAATGTATATTACAAACAAATATATTTCCACTAACCAAATATCTTACGGCTGTCATAAAAAATACAAAATATATTGCTTGAGATCAGCTCGCTTTATCGCTCAGATTCATTTAAGTAAGACATTTAATAATTGTTGGTATTTGGTGAACTATTTTTTTATAAGATTTTCGATTTGGCTTGATTTGATTTTTTCATTTTAATCAGTCATTTTCTTCTCCAAATTATATTCCGAGTCTCTTCAAAGATCTTGTAAGAGATTTAAGCTACGATGAGCAAAATATCGTTCTCTGTCTGTTCTATTTTCTTCTTTTATTTTAAATTGATTTTATATTTAATATTTATTTTTAATAAAAATCAGTATACGTACAATTACTACGACCTGTGACTTGAGCCGGCAATCTCGTAGCTTATTAATCAAATGAATAAATGTACTAAACAGTATTAAACTTCGGATGCATAGGATTTAACTATTTTAGAGGAACCTGAGAACGAAACGAACATTGGAGCCGGCGGCAAGCTTTATTTCGGGAAAGGGGTTGGCAACTCTGTTCGCCCAAAATGGCTGTTCGTGTCGCCTTTTAAAGTAGATTTTGTTGCTATCAAAGTGTGCATAGCACTTTGCGTTTCAGGATCGGCATACGTCTAGGCTGGTTATATTCATTTCAGAGCAAATCTCGTTGAGTTACAAGCTAAAATATTAGCGCTCCAATAAAATAAAAATTCATAAAAGGAAAAATTACATTTTTTCATTTGTTTGGTAAGGAAAAGTTAAAGCAACGTTACGTAAAGATGCGTCGGGCAGCTCAAAGCAAAGGCAACAACAGCGGCGAGCCGTCATCCAAGAAGGAGAAGATGGACAAGAAGGCTGATAAGAAGGCCGGATCCAAGGCACCGCTGGCCCCGAACATTGCGAAGAAGAAGATAAAGACGCCCTCGCCGGCATCATCGGCCAGCAGCGATACCGACAGCGACACCACCAGCTGCTCCAGTGGGTCATCGAGTAGCTCCTCCTCTTCATCGTCGAGCGAGTCCGAGAGCGACTCGGAAAGAAAGAAGCGCCGTCATCGCCGCTCACGAAAAACAAAATCTTCAAAGAACTCCAAATACAAATCGAAGCGCAGCCGCTCGCGCAAAAGGGCTCCTGTGGTGGCGGCCGTGCCGACTCCCGTGCCGCCGCCCCTGCCAGTTATAGTCCCTGCACCGGTTCCACCGCCAAGCTCGGCACCAATGCCATTGCCAATACCATTGCCGATACCAATGCCAATACCAGTAACACCAACACCGAAGGAAGCTGCGCCAGCAATAGAGATTTGGTCTCCGGTTCCGTGCTCCAAGCAGCGCGGCCGCACTCTCCATCGTAGCCGCTCTGGGCTGCCGGGCATTGAATCCAAGAGCAAGTGCAAGCACTCGACAAAGTCGCCAACTCCAAAATCCAAGAATAAATCGCCGCCAAAATCAAAATCAAAAGACAAGGACAAGAGCACAACTGCGGCCACAAAGTCCAATAAGGAGCACCAGCCGGCTGCAGCCACAAAGTCCAAGGAGAAAGAGAAGGAGAAGGAAAGGGAGAGGCGCCCAGCCGAGCGGCCATCGTCGCGGGGCAAAGAAAAAGACAAGGACAGGGACAGGAGCACAACTGCCAAGGGTAAGGATGTGGAAAAGGCTTCGACTTCGGCTTCAACCTCGACTTTAGCTTCGGCTTCAGTTGCCAAATCCGTATCAAGGGATAAGGAACATCGCCCATCGTCTTCATCGGCTTCAAGCAAGCACAAGGGGAAGCCAGACCCTAAATCGCAGAAGAAAAAGGAGGAGACGCCATCCTCCAAATCAGTCGCAGCAAAAGCAAAAGACAAAGACAAAGATAAAGACAAGGATAAAGATAAAGACAGAAAGTCCTCGTCGCGTTCAGCCTCAAGAGACAGGCAGCGACGCATGCTGTCCCGCGCAACCACGGTTCCAAGCGAGAAGCGCCACTATACCCCATTTCGTTCAGCTGGAAAGCGCGCCCCGAGTCGTTCGACGTCGCGCTCCAGGAACTGGCGCTCGTTGTCACGCCCAACTCCCCGTTCCCGGGAAAGGCGCTCGATGTCGGACCTAAGTGCTCGGATCCGCATTCGCCGCTCCCCGTCCTCATCGTCGACGCCATCGATGAGCTACCGTCGGCGCAGCCTGGATGGTACACCAAGTCCACTGCGTTCCCACGATCACGATCTGAAGACCGTGCGCCTGCATATTAAGGGCCTGACACGACAGGTGACCAAGACGCATATCGTGGAGATCTTTGGCAGCTTCGGGCCCCTGACCAACGTTGACTTTCCCATAGATCACTTCTATCGCGGCGGATATTCCCGTGCCGGGCGCGGATTCGCCTTTGTCGAGTACGCTAATCCCGAGGACTGCGAGTGCGCACTCAAAAACATGGACGGCGGCAAGATCGATGGCCAGCGTATTGTTGTCTCCCCCTTCGAGAAGAGCATGCTCCGTTTTCCCATGCGTCGTCGTTATCCCTCGCCGCTCAACATTCGTAATCGCTTTTGAATTGGAATCGATGGGCGGCGGACCAGAAGTTACGTTTATACTTGAACTTTTCAAGCCCCTGTGTAAATCATTTACATTTTAATTTCAATCCCCCCGTCAAACAGAAACAATCCGTGTTGATTTTATATAAGGAATGAATGAAAATAAAACAAATATAAAAATCAACTTTGATTCTAAATTATCGATACGAAATATCGACAGCTGAAGCTCTTATCGAGTCAAAGCATTGATAGCTCGTTTACAAAAGCTAACTTCTCCAAATAAGACTTTTCTACAAATTGTGATGATTGTCGAACAAATGAATGCTCATCGTTGAAAAAATATAGATATATGCCCGATTTTAACATGTGATCAAATCGATAAGTGCATATAAACATACGCCTTAATTCTAATGCAAGGGACCAGGTTTAACGGTAATTGCAACAGCAAAGGCATCTTATAAGGGAATATTAATTAGTTTTACCATCATCTACAGTCCGAAAGTTAGATGTCAATGTAGAAATAATATAAATGTTGTTCAATGTTACAGCTTAAGGAAATTAACTATAATTTTCTATGATTTATTTTGATAAACAGACTCAGAGACATCAGAGATACCTACGAAAGATCTTATATAGGCAGATATATCCTATCCACTCTACCTATGCTCACATTAATAACATGTATTTAGTGTTAGAAAATATATTCCTGCGTTTCTGTACATTTTTTCCATACGACATAAAAACGACTTACCTATAAATATATTTTCTAAAGCAGATGTACAGTGAAAACTCTCCTGGGCGGACAGCTATCGTCAAGTAATTTTGTCTGCTCAAACGGAGTGTACGCCCAATAGAAGAGGAATGGGTATGGCCTGATCCGCACAAGAACGGTGTTCGCCCAATAAGAGTGTCCGTTAGGAGAGTTTTCACTGTATTAGTTTCCGACATGTATCAATATATAGACATATATAAAAGAAAATATATGAAAGATCATAAAAATTTGATAAATATCGAAAAATTTCATACAGTAGGGACGTATTTTTGATAAATATTGGACTTGACGCATTTAAATATTATAAGAAACATACACACACTAACATGTTAAACAGATACATATGTATCACAGTTGCGATTGTTAATCATTTTATAAAGTAAATGATTAATTTAATTTCTAGTCAACTTTGATTATTTGTATGAAACTAATGTTGTGAGTCGACAAGAGGTTATTATAGATTCCTTGCCAGTTTAGGTTTATTTATTTGTAGATATAATCAATGACGACTTTTATAGAATAACATATAAGGTACTCACCTTTACCTATCGGTACCAGTTTTTTTTTTTTGGAGCTGGCAAGAGATAACTTAATGACAGTTGAAATTTTGTTTTGAAATTCAGCTGAACTTCGTGAAAACACAAGCGTAAACAATTTGTTAATACACCAGACTATGCCGAAAAGCTCGTGGGGCATTATTTCCATAGTCCATTGTTCCCACTCCAGAACCAGAACCAAGCTTTCGTCACGTTCCCATTCGCTTCTCCGTTTCTTTAGAGCTCCGTGGCACTGATCAGGTTTTCTGTGCTATTGTTGTTGTTGGCGTACTTTAACGCAATTATAGTTGCTGAACTTTTCAATTAATTGCTATTAAAAACAATTTAAATATTTTATGGGGCCCCGTCATAACAGGTGATTTGAGCGAAGCCAGCTGTGCAAATAAATAAATAATAAATAAAAAAAGTAAATACATGAATAAAGGAGCAAATAAAACTGTTTTAAAATCCAATATTGCATAATAGCCCGACCGCAAAATTACGCATTTTGTTAACGTTAATTTGTTATCGTGTATTTACTTTTATTTATTAAACAAGCTTGATTGCGACTCGAGCATTGCACAATTGTTGCCATTAATTACAGCGCACGCATATTAACTTGCATTACCCTAACTTCTAGAATGACCTTATCGGCAGTGCCCGGCTGACGATATTCCTGCAGTCAAATTAATGTACCGCTATAAGTCGACACTTCATTAAGTTGGCCTAATGGGCCCACTTAGCAGGCTAAGATATTTAATACGCGAAAAGGTTGTTCTTCTTAGGGATAAACTTTCATCTGATCTTGGTAGCTATATGCTATAGTTTTCTGTTCCACCCGACTCCGACATGTATACCGACTGGGCTGTTCAAACTAATCAAGAATATAGACGCACTCGATTGGTTCTGAGAAGTTAACCTGTAATATTTTCTTTAAAACTTGGGCCATACTAGAAGTATCCTTTCGGCGTACGAGTTTTCACCAGAGAAGTGATCCGATTAAACAAGCGTTTGGTTCTTTGAGCTCTGCCATAGGCCTTGGCACTTGTTGAAGACAATTGCTGGCCGCCCAGCGGTTTGATCTGTGATCAACGAGTAGGAGGAGGAAGGAAACTACTTCGGGATCACCAGGAGTTAAACTTTGAAATAATCTTGCTGGTGCGAGGTCTGATCAGAGTCTTATGGTCTGTTAGTACGAGCAAACCATATCCCGCTGTCCGTCCGTTTCTGGGTTGCGGCCCGTCGAGCAGGATTGTGGCTTTACACCCTAATGTGGATAGAGGTGTTGCCGGGTGCCGTGAACCATAGATTTAAAAAGGTTTTAGATGGACCTCCCGGCTCCCGGATGCTGCAAGCCTGCAATAGGAATCGTCAGCTTGAGCCATCGTGGCACGAGCTCACGCAGAGCCCTTTCTCTTTGAAGGTATAAGAAGACATTACCCAAGCAAATAGTTAAATATTCATGAAATGCAAAAATGCACAATAGATCCTCAGTACATATATATATATATATATCAATTATAACATCTCGCATATAAGCCTGACTTTTTAACCTTTCTCTATTTTCTTAATCCCCTCCCTATGCGCAGCTGCCCTCACGAGCACTGAGCTCCATGCAAAAGTTAACCGCCCTGGACTTTGACTACAACGAGATCGTGCGCATCGATGACTATAGCTTCTATGGACTACGAGTGTCCAAGCTGAACATTAAGGGCAATCGACTGCAGGGCATACCGGAGCACGGCTTTGCCGGACTGGAGGACTGCATGCAGGAGATCGACGTATCGGAGAATGGATTGCGAACATTCCCGATGATGGCGCTACGCAAGCTGGATCACCTGCGCATCCTGCGGCTGTCCAACAATAAGATATCCACATTCTATGGGGACATTCAGCTGGCCACAAACAATGCCTCGGCGGCAGCGGCAACAGCGGCCGCACTGCAGCTGCCCTCATTGATCCTGCTGGATCTAAGCTCGAATCAGTTTAGCGAGATCGTCCACGATTGTTTTCGCGCCTTTCCGCAGCTGAAGACGCTCTCATTTTATGCCAACCAGATTGAGATCGTGCAGCCCGAGGCGTTCAGAAGCCTCAAGGAACTCATGTCGCTGGACATGTCGCACAATCGCATCATTACGCTAGATCCAAAGGTGTTCGAAAAGAACAAGCGGCTCCAAACGGTCGATCTGAGTCACAATCACATACACGCCATCAGCGGTGTCTTCTCCAACCTGCCACAGCTGCGCGAGGTCTTTCTGTCGGAGAACAATGTGCTGGAGCTGCCGGCAGATGCCTTCACCAATTCAACGAACGTGGACGTCATCTACTTGGAATCGAATGGCATTTCGCACATTGATCCCAACGTCTTCAGCACTTTGGCCAATCTGGATCATCTCTATTTGCGCTCCAATTTCATACCGTTGGTGCCCGTCACTCTGTTCGACAAGTGCACGAAGCTCTCGTCGCTGTCGCTGGACAACAACGAGATTCAGGATCTGGAGATCGGCATGTTCCGCAAGCTGGAGCAGCTGCGCGAGGTACGGCTGCACAACAATCGCATCCGTCGTGTGCGGAAGGGCGTCTTTGAGCCGTTGCCGGCGCTGCAGGAGCTGCACATTCAGAAGAATAACATTGAGGACATTGAGCCTGGCGCATTTCATACTCTGGCCAATATGCAGCACATTAATCTACAGGACAATCAACTGACCGAGTTGGAGGACATATTTCCAGAGCAGAACTCTTCGCTGCTCTCCATACAGCTGGAGTCGAACTATTTGCGCAAGATCCATCAGCGCACGTTCCGGCAGCAGCAGCGCATCCAGATCATGTGGCTGCGCGACAATCAGCTGCCGAAGATCGATCGTTCGCTGTTCGTGGACACACCGCATCTGGGCCGGCTCTACCTGAGCAACAATCACATACGCGAGATCGAGAAGGACACCTTCGTCAGCCTGGGGCAGCTGAAGTTTCTCGATTTGAGTGGCAATCAGCTGAGACAGTTGCGACGCGACTATTTCGCCACATTGCACAGTCTCGAGGAGCTGAGTCTGGCCAACAATCAAATCGAAACCATTGACGGCTACGCCTTTAGCCGGATGAAGCAGCTCAAGTCGCTGGATCTGTCGCACAATCCGCTGGTGCAGCTGACACGCGACATCTTTCTGGATGAGCTGCCGCTGAGCACACTCAATCTACGCAACACCTCGTTGCGCAAACTAGAGCAGAACACTTTCAAGTCCATGCAGAATCTGAACGAGCTGAATCTCGAGCGCAATCAACTGAATCCGGCGGATATACAGAAGCTAGATGTGCCCAGCCTGCGGCGTCTGCACTTGTCCCACAACAACTTCAGTCATGTGGGCATCGGCGGCAGCCTTGGCGGCATCATGTCCGGCATGTTCGACAAGCTTCGCTCCCTGCAGCAGCTGTCCATGGCCAACTGCAGCCTGAGCAGCATACCCGATCAGCTGTTTGCGAAGATCACGAACTTAGTGCGCATCGATCTGTGCGATAATCAGCTAACCGAGATGAACCGTAACATCTTCAACGGGCTGAACGTGTTCAAGGAGTTGCGTCTGTGCCGCAATAATCTGGTCGAGTTCCCACACATTGCACTGTACAATCTAAGCACGCTGGAGACACTGGATCTGGCCAAGAATCAGCTGAACTCCATTGATTTCTTTAAGCTGAGCGGCACCCTCAATCTGAGGCAGCTAATACTCCGGGATAATAAGATCAGCTCGCTGAGCGGCTTCAATGCAGTCAATCTGACGCAGCTGGACAATGTGGATCTAAGCGGCAACCTGTTGCTCTCGCTGCCGGCCAACTTTTTGCGTCACTCGATCAACCTGCAGCGCGTGGACCTGTCCAGCAATCGGTTCCTGCAGATACCCAGCTCGGCGCTCTCGGACGTGTCCATTCCGCGCTTGTCCTGGCTCAATTTGACTGGTAACCCGATAAATAAGATCTATACGGTGAAGGAGGAGCGTTACCTGTATCTGAAGGAGCTGTACATTTGCCAGACGAACCTGTCCATACTCACGTCCAAGGACTTTGAAGCCTTCCAGGCGCTGCAGCATCTGCACTTGATCAACAATCGGATTACGCGCATCTCGCCCGGCGCCTTCAAGACCCTGACCAATCTGCTCACCCTGGACATCAGCGTCAACGAACTGGAAATGCTGCCCAAGGAGCGTTTGCAAGGTCTGCGGTTGCTGCGACTGCTCAACATATCGCACAATACGCTCAAGGATCTCGACGAGTTCAGTGGCGACTTGGCACAACTGCAAACGCTGGACCTGAGCTTTAATCAGCTGGATCGCATCTCCAAGAAGACGTTCCGCAATCTGCACAGCCTCACGGAGCTGCTGCTGATGGGCAATCGGATGACGGCGCTCTCCAACGATGGCTTCCGCTATCTGCGCAAATTGCATCTGCTCGATCTGCGCAAGAACTATTTTGAGCTGGTGCCGTTGGAGCCGCTGAGGCCACTCGAAACGAATTTGCGTTCCCTGAAATTGGAGGGTAAGTAACCGTTCGTAAATTCGGTCTGGGCCTAATTTGCTGCTTATTCTCATGGCAATTTTCATTTGTATTTTCTCCACGCACACACACACACACACGCGCGCGCAAACGACACATATACGGGCACCCATAGAGAATCCACTGCATTGCAGCTGCGATGCACAAAAGCTCTGGGAATGGCTGCGGGATCATCGGAAATGGTCGCTTTCGCCAACGGGCGGCGATAACATTAATTATCTGAGGTGCGAACACCCAACGGAGCTGCGCGGCAAGGTGTTTGGCCGCATGGAGCCGCAGCAATTTTGTGATGCCCCATTAATACCCAAAATGGCCATACAGGACATACAGCCATATTCGGTGGTCGTTTCCTGGCAGAGTCGCGACCATTTGGGCCTCACTGGCTTTGAAATTGTTTACCATGCCACCGGCGATGGACTCATTGCGGCCCCAACCGACCGCGACGAGACCAGAGGCCGTGATAATCACCGCGAACGCGAGCCCGGAATGGAAATGGAACGGGACCGAGACCAGGACAGGCACCGGCAAGGCGTGCGCCAGCGCGAGCGAGAAAGGGACAGCGACCTGGAGCGCGACCAAGACCGCGAGTTTGAACGAGACAGAGATAGAGAGCACCTCTCGCAGTTTGCTGCTACGGATGAGGTGAGTGGCCAATGATTGCTCAACCAAACAACAGACTGACATTGGACGCACCAAATTTGACAGAAATTCGATGATAAATACTCGATGCTGAATCCGAGCTGACCATCCGCCGCTAATCGAGCTGGCCATGTTTGCCTCCTGGCCCCTAATTTTCTTTTAATAAACGCTTAATCAACGCTTAGAGGGCTACAGGATGGTTGGCGGCGGGTAAGAGCCATGTGGCCTCGTTCGATCGGCGATAAACTGCGCAACTTTGTGCATACAAAATTTAATTTAAGCAACACGTCGCCCCGGGTCCTCAACTAACTAAGATGCCAGCCACAGCACAGTGGGCCAAGCTGCACGATAATGTGTATAAAAATCGATTGAAAGCTTGAAAAACGAAGTCACTGGCAAACATTGACTAAATAGCGTTAAAAATTTTTTTTTAAAAAAGCCAGCAAAGCGTTGAGAGAAAATCGATTGAGCTTCTAGTGTTTGTAATCGCTATTAATTTAGTGACTTTTAAATATCGATAAGTAATTGAATTATTTAGTTATGTTTTTATTTTTATTAGCCTCTGTAGATGACAAAAAATGACAGTTCTTAGCTAAAATCACAATTAATCATAAATAATATTGTTTAGAGCAAGCAAAGCGATAAGTTATCGAAAGAAAATCGAGTGAGCTTTCTAGTGTTGGAGATCGCTTAATTTGACGGATAAGTAATTGAATTATTGAGCTTGGATTTTAAAGCTTCTGCTATTGACCGGTCAAGCAGTAATTGATATTTTTATTGAATAACATATTTTTTAGCAAAATAATAAAATTGGAAGCTAGCGTGACCCCATTGTCCGGTTCAGTTAGTCAAATTGTGGCCGCAGGCCGCGAGAGAAAATTTTAATAAAAACGACACGACGATGATGACGAGTATCGGGGTCTGGGTATACGGCTGAGGTTGGCAACGCAATAATAATCTTGAAACTTGGTTAATTTATTCCACAGATACACGGCAAGCGGCTAAACGGCACGGCCAGCTCGACAAAGCTTACGAAATTGAGCCCCAACACGCGCTATCACATCTGCGTCATCGGGACCGGTAATTGGCTCTCAGAGCCTTTGGCCAATGCGCTTCAAAGGCTGCACTACAATGAGACGAGAGACGAGCTGCTGCTGTCCATGACGGGTGGCGCCTCTGCCTATGCTGGTGGGTTTGGGGATGTGGCCGCCTTGCCATCACTGCCGGACAACTATTCGCCGTATCAGCACCTGAGCGGTGCGGTCGAGGAGCTGGATCAGCAGGCATTGATAGAGAACAGCATTGTAACGGACAAAGCGCTGCACGAGGTGCTTAAAAACTCGCACATCTCGGCCTGCACGGACGTACAGACGCTGGACTCGACCCCAAGCCTCATTACCGATGAGAATGGCCTGTCCAGCAACGGCTTCATACACTCGATATTGACGCGACGCCTGGGCCTAATTGTCGGCTGCTGTTTGGGCATTATAGTGTTCATAGTGATGATATCGGTGCTCAGCTACGTGAAGCTCAAGAAGCAGCGCATCGAGAACGCCAAGCGACAGGCGGCTATGCCACCAGAGTACATCTCCTATCGCCACTTCTCTATACCCAACGAGGAGCTCACCAGAACCGCAGCGAATGTGAACAGCGCCGTAGCCGCGGCAGCAGCTGCCTCTGCGGCATCAGCCCCGTCAACTGCCGCACACAACATGTCGAGCGTGCCAAGCGGCATCAGCGCACATATAAGCGGCACGAGCCTGAGCACCGGCACCACAACTACCACGGCCACAACGCCCATTGGTGGTGTACCCTTGCCCATGGCCAAGTCGGGCAGTCGCAGTCCCATTGTGGGCATTGCGGGTCTCGTTGTGGAGAACGGCGATGCCGCCGCCGCCGCCGGCAACGTGATTGCCGTCTCCACCGTCTCGCCGGCAGCAGGAAACGCTCACAACAATCACAGTCACAACCCTCACCAGGTGGCGCATCGTCCAAACAACGGCGCCATTGGGGGTTACATGGCCGCTGGCGTGGTACTCAATACGAATCATCTAAGCGTCTGTTAGTCGCACTAGCTACTCAACGCCTTCTTTTTTTTCAAATTATTCAAATGCATTCGATTATGAGAGTCCTTTTCAAGAGCTCCCACTTGCGACCTGTGTGTGTTGTCTATTATGCTGAAGTTCAATCCGAATGGCCATCAAAAATGGATACACTGCACTCCACTCCCCTCCACATTGTCAATGTCACCAGGAATGTGTGCAGCAATAACCAATCCAATCATGCAAGCGGCATAGACAGTGATATGCAGTGCTCAAAAGGTTACTCGATTCAACATAATTCATTTTAGCACCCTGGCTCGCCTTTGGCGGACCTCAATATGTGTGTCGATGCACTCTCTGTTGATCTGCGAAACACTCCCACTCTCGATTCGCACAATTTCATATTTCATGCGGCATTCAATTCATTTACCATGAAAACTTTTTCAATCAGAGAAAATGCCAAAGCATTTTTTATGTTTTCAATGTGGCCCAAAATGCATTTAATTTATGAGTAAAAAAAAAAAACCCAACTACCATAAAAATAAAAACCAAAAAAAAAAAAAACTAGGTTAGTGATAATAATCATCATGATGCGTTCAACGTTCGTTTAGTTATGACAATTTAAAAATAGAGGAGAAAATCCAAAAGAAGAAAAACAAACAATAATACACACAGTAAACGATTTTCAATGTAAATAAAAGTTGAAGCAAAATTAAAACTCAGCTCACAAACAAATGGAAAAAAAAATACATAAATAAGAAAAATCTGTTTTTAGAGTAATGATAAATATATTGAAATAAAAGGAACTATAAAAAATGTCGGAGATAAATCAAAAAGCCAGTTACACATCTGTGTACATTGCGTAGCTACATATGCATATGCATGTGTGTAGGGTACATAAGCACGGACACAACTCTGTAATCAATGTTGTTGTTTTTTTTTGAGCCCAAAAAACTTAGATTTAATCAATGGAATTTTTTTTGAAAGCAGCGCGGTAATTAAGAATCACTAAGCAAATAGAAACAAAAGTAAATGGAAAATGAATAAGTATAATAATCTCTACAAGTAGCATCAAACTGCAAGAGAAACATATTAACTAATTAATAATCTAATAAAACAATTTAATGAAATTAAGTAAGCGCAAGCGACATGCAAAATTGTTGGCAAAAACTCAAAGAGTTTCATTTTTAAAATGCAATACTCGTTTCTTTCTTTTCTCTTGAATTTAACTTGTATTTATAATTTTCCTAATACAATAAATACATATACAATTTTTTTTAAAAATATTACTAATAAATAAATACCTTTAGCGTTAGTCACAGATTTAGATATAATATACAAAAAAATACAAAATTGAAGGCATATTATATTTAAGAAAAACAAACATATTTATGTGACAAAGAGCTGCGTAGTATACCAATTACTTTATAGCCAGCAAAAAATGCAAAATCTAAGTGTAAACCAAAAAAGGGATGAACAAAGAAATCATAAAACCATTTATGACAAAAGTGCAAAAATTTATATAATGGCAAAATCAAAAACACACACAAAGGCAAATAATGCTAGCAAACTAACCGTAAGCAAAAGAAAAGATACAAAGAGACAAACAACAAATCAAATCAAAAGAAATGTTGTCTAATTTATGCATAGTCCAGTTCCGTATAACCGCCACCACCAACCCCCAACAAATGTGGGTGTAGGCAGCCCATTCATGTATTTGTTTTCAACTCAAACAGCCTATGCTTGTGTTAAAATAAAAACTGCATAACAATAGCTAACTTATATGCATATAAACAAATATGTGTGTGCATGGGCATTATACGAGGTATGTGTAACGGCCATCAGAACAGGAAGACCCGAAAAATAAGGGCTTGATTAAGAAAGCAAACTCAAAATAGCTACGCATAATGGTAAATGCAAGTCAAAATCAAAAATCGAACTTAAGAATAAAATTGCAAGAAACGAAACAAAGGAATAAATAAAAAAAAAAACAAAATTATATGAGTATCTACGCATTAACGAAGCTTTTCAGATGCTCTGCGGTGTGTGTGTGAGTGTGTGTATTATCTATGCCCTCTGAGCTGGGGACTTAGCAACATTTATATCCTTCGCCAGGATTACACGCACACATACACACACACACACGCACATATTCAAAAAATAGTTCTAGTCTTATGTAGAACCTGAAAGCCAAATGCAAACAGAATTCACAAAACATAAACAAAGCAAATGCAATAAATGAAATTATTATAAACAAAATAAATATTGTATTGAAAGCAACAAAAACTAAAGTATAAATAAATGACAAACGAAATTTAACAATAAATTATTGCAAGAAGTTGTGCTTTATCTCAAGAGGAACTGGGCTTCACTCGAGTGCTTCCCTTCAGTCCTGTCTGCTGTTCGATGCCCCCTCCACCATCCCCCTAACCCACTGCTGCAGATATCAACTAAGTTGTGGTTTTTTACATATCTATATATACTTATATATATTTTTTATAAAATATTAACTAAATGGACATTTCCGTTGACTGGAGCACGTATTCTCATCAACGGCATTAAATGCAATGCGGAATTCTAATTAGGCTCGCAAATATTCACACGCACACACACACACACTTGCACTCCCACAGAATAAGGGAAAAGTTGAGCTAGCACTGCGGTTACGGCTGAGGGGCAGAGGGGCGTGCACCTGCGGCAAGCTCAATGCAGGGCTACAGCAAGAAGTGTGTATGGGGATGTGTGTGTATGTGTCGTCAGGACTTGCCATACACAATCAACCGATTGACTGCACCACGGCAGACACACACACACACACACACACAGATACACAGAAAGTCCGTCGGTCTGCACCAAAGTTGATTTAATGGCAGCTTCTTCTGTTTTACTCACACCAATTTCCAGGATAACTAATACCAGCACCGCCAGTAATTTTAGGCAATGACATTACCTGCAGTCGCGAATTAGGCGTAAGATTAATCCCGAGCGAATTATCAACAGTTATTCGAATTGTCCTTGCAGACGGGTAACATAATTCAAATTCACAAACGAATTTATTTTCAAGCTAAAGGCTCCCTGTCTTAAGGTTCGGGCTTTCAACCCAGGTTATCTTAAGAATTTGGATATTCTCAAAATAACAATAAAGCGATTGCAATTTTAATCTTTTAACGTTGAAAATTTGAACTCTAGCAAAAGATGGTTCGATATATAATAAATGGCGCATATAATTCCTATATATAAAACTGTGTGTACTGACTGACTATGTGATTGACTGACGAACTGGTGATCAACATACAGTCTAAGCCGTATAAGCTGGGAAGCTGATATTTTTAAGGTAGTTACCTAATGTGATAAAGGTCCACGTTCAGACGGGGTGTTCGGAAATTCCACCGACATATGTCGAAAAATCGTGGAAAACGGTTGAATGTAACGATTTTGCTTACCATGCGATGGGTCTTAAACTCATTTTAAATGTTCTTTAAATTCATTTAAGATCAGTTTCACACTTTTCGGAATATCCAACTATATTTGGGGGGAACGGAGATCAAAGACTTGATTGGTGAAGTTTCGGGCTTCCAGGGAATTTTATGTAAATTCATTTGAGACGTGTTTTACACTTTTCGCAAAATGAAAGGCTTTTGGATGGAAAATGATTTTGAAAGGTTGTATAAGCGAACGTTTTTTTTTTTCGGGTCACCCAACAAAACTAAAATGGAAGCACATTTCAACTTTTGTTCTTGATTTGATGGACT